GGAACGCTGTTACCTTCCCACCAAAGGTGGTTCCTATTTTTCTACTTGCACTTTTTATGTGTTTTCAAACTGCTATGTTGGCAGAAGCTGGGACAAGTAACGGGAGCTCACTCCGTTATGCAGCGCTAGGGATTCGAACCGCCGAACTACCGACCTTTCTAATTGGCAAGCGCAGCATCTTAGCCACTAAGTCCCAATCCTGATGTTAATAAAGTTTAAAGTTAATCCTTCATGTACAATTGTCCTACGAGTAAACGGGGAGGGGGGGGGCACAAGTTTCCAATCAACGTAATCGCTTAATTATATTGGGTGGAAAAATGTGAGGAGTGACCGTACTAATTTAAGACTCAATCTCAATAGATTTATAAACACTTAGTCCCAGTCCTGCCAGAATAAATCCTGGTTTCACTAGAACCACTCATAGAAGGAACACATGGAGGATGTTTTAGGACACTCTTTAAAAACAGAGGAGGGCCTCTCTTTTCAATCTTCCCCCTTCCCCGCCTGCCAAAAGTTCTTGCTAAGAAACAAAATAGCTCTTGTTTATTCAGGAGCAACTCCCACTGACTTACCCAGCTCCAATTGTTGGCTCCTTTGTCACTTGCTAGAAAAAAAAGGAAAAAAAAACTGGGAGTTAATTTAATTAATTTAGAGACACATACAGAGAGACACACAGAGAGACAGAGACACCCACCAATACATTCAAAAGAATTGACTCAAGCTGCTTTAGCTAAGAGACACTGGAAATAACCCTTAATATGTATACACGTAATCCTCGACCTGTAACAGTTCATTTAGTGACAGTTTGAAATTAGAACCAATGTTTAGATGCAGACTTGGGAAAAAAAATAGGTTTCAGAAGCAGTTAAGCTGATCCAAAACTGAGAAGGCAAAAGACCTGCATTGTTAACATTTGTGGATGATATTTGTTACAGCTGTTGAGACTCTAGAAAAAGTGCAAAGAAGAGCAACAAAGATGATTAGAAGATTGGAAGTGAACACATATAAAGAAGGGTTGCTGGAATTGGGTATGTCTAGCTTAATGAAATGAAATACTGGGGTGACATGATAGCAGTGTCGTAATATCTGAGGGGCTGCCACAAAGAAGAGGGAGTCAAGCTATTCTCCAAAGCACCTGAGGGCAGGACAAGAAGCAACGGATGGAAACTAATCGAGGAGAGAAGCAACCTAGAATTAAGGAGAAATTTCCTGACAGTGAGAACAATTAATCAGTGGAACAACCTGCCTCCAGAAGTTGTGAGTGCCCCAACACTGGAAGTCTTTAAGAAAGTTGTTTCACAAGTCATCTAAAGATGCATTCAATTAATTAATACTATCTCGGTACATAACAAAAGAACAATCACAAATTTACTCCTTTGCAAAATAGCTTGAAAAGGATTTTCAGTTAAAGTGTCTAGGAGAAATAAAGAACGATTTAGGAGTAGAAATAAAAGAAACTACAAGAAGGAGGGTATGTTCTCCAAGTCAAAAGAAAACAGAACATTTGTTTTTTTTTAAAAAGTTTAATATGGAGCATGCAAACTCCTATTATGCTGTACCAGATTTTCAAACCATCAAAAATAGTACAGCCTGTAATCAGGAATTATATCAAGCGGTCCTAGGAAGTCTGCTTTACTACCACAATGGTCAAGGGCAGATATTGCCAATTCAGTCAGTATTTCAAGCCACTACACATCAATAGTGATAGCCCTTAGACTTATATACCACTTCACAGTGCTTTACAGACCTCTCTAAGCGGGTTAGAGTCAGCCTCTTGCCCCCCAAAATCTGGGTGCTCATTATACCAACTTGGAAGGAGGGAAGGCTGAGTCAAC